ATTATTAGGTACCTATGGGAATTTTAAACCCTGATTCTGACCCACGACTTTGAATCCCGGAACGAAGCTGACGTCAAATCCTGTCGCGCAAACAATTATGTTAAACCCCTCTGTCTTTGTGAGGCTGCGGATGCCGTTCTCAACAACCTCCTGGATAGGTTCGTCTTGGAGGGTGACGTTGCCTTACTGTAGTGCTTCGAGATAGTTCTCACCGGGAGACAGTCGCCGGCAGCCGAGTTGAAATGTCGGGATAAGCCTGGCACACAGATCAGGGTCATGATTGAGTACGGCCTCCATCTTTGCCTTGAATTCCCGAAAGGCGTATCTTTGCTCTGGGCTGTCCTTGACAGACACCCTGAAGAACTTGTTCATTGAATGCTCGATACTATGCCGGAGCTGGAAAAACATTTCCTCGTCATCCTTGAATGCCTGGATCTCTTGTTTAGTGTATGTAAAGTTCTTTCCCTCCGGTGTGAACTCTGAGGCGAATGTGCTACTGATCCATAGTGGACTTCGGGCATAGTTGACAATCTTGGCTGCTGTAGGTTGCATCTGCGGAAGGACTTGCAGGTCGTTCACCACGCCGTGGAGGTTGCGGGCACTTTTCAGGAATATTGCGTCACTGATGGAAGATACGCTAACAAGATACCCGATGGGGTTACGGACGAGGAGGCCGGTCCTATCATGTGCGGAGGATTCTCAGCATATGCGGCTTGCAAGCGAACGGCAGTCAAGAGCCCGGACAGTGGCTTGTCATCCTCGGAGCTGGTGGAGGTGTAGGACATTTTGCATTGCAATATGCAAAGGCTATGGGGATGAGAGTCATTGCTGTTGACATCGGAAAGGAAAAAGAAGAAATGTGTCGCAGATTAGGAGCTGGCACGTTCATTGATTCTTCTAAGGATGTCGTGGCTGAGGTGATGAGGATCACTACCTACGGTGCCCACGGGGTTCTCGTTGCTACTCCATCGAAGGAAGCATATGACATAGCGCTGCATACCCTGAGAATCCGGGGAACAATGGTGGTCAGTGTTATCCTTCATTTTCTCTTTACATTCACTGACAAATTCTACAGGCGCTTGGTATTCCAAAAACTCCCGGTGTCATGGCCGGATCGCCGGCTGCTCTTATCATCGGAAAGAAGCTAAACATCGTTGGAAGCCTGGTTGGCACCAAAAGGGAAGCCGACGAAGCACTGGATTTTGCAGCAAGGGGGTTGATTCGTCCTGTTCTAACCAAAGGGACGTTGCATGACATTGATAGATTCTGTGACATGCTCGAGGAGGGTAGCCTCCCTGGAAGGGCTGTAATTGATGTTTCTATATAACGACAAGAGATAAGATGACTTAGGTAATATCTCATCTTTTACGAGGATATATCTTAACGAGTGGCTCGAAGTGGATATGTGTCGATTAATTGCAACGGTACCCGCGGCTTCCGACTAAGTTCAAAGTTTATAACATCTCAAGGAGGCACATTAAGCTATCATACTAAAAGTACCAGGCACTGAACCCACAGATTAAACAGATCTGCCATGTGTTAAACCCTAACATTTATATCTATGTATCATAGTAACATATACTAACCTACTGTAATCTAGCACATGCTCGATGACACCCACTGAAACGACTTGAAATACCTTCCTTCTGGACATTCCGCCGTGGAAGTACAGAGACCCAGTCTTATATCATCGCCCGTCACGCTTCAACTTCCCCTCCACTCATCGGAAGTTTCCTTGTCCGTTGCAGCGAGACAGGGGAGGGTTGCTACCAGGCTTAGAACAAGCAGAGATAGCACCTTCAATCCAGGTGATGCCGTTGTAGCTTCCCTCGCCACGGCTGTCGGCATACCAAGTACCAATCTCAGTGGCAGAACCAATACAGCCCTGGAACTGACGACCAGAACGACGAGTAGTAAGAGGCTTGGTGATCATGACACCACACTGGCCGTCCTTGATAGTAGCCTTGGTGATGACTGAGGTCTGCGTGGTCCAGGTTCGACTGTAGTCGATGCCAAGAGACCCAGCCAGCTTGTCCTTGACGAAGGTGAGATCGACGCCAGCACTTCCGCCAACGGTATTGGAAACGCTGTAGCCGGAAGACACGCTGATGTCCATGTCGCCAACGGCACAGACAACAGGCGACATCTGCACGTCCCAGTCGACAAAGGTCTCAGTCTTGTCGGTGGTGATGTAGAAGGTGCCATCACAGTCGTCACGCTTTCCGACCTGACCTTTTGAGACCTTGGGGTACTTGGGCTTGGTCAGATCAGTGCTGTTGTACGAGATCCAAGACGGGTCCAGCTCGGGAGCACCGATCTTGATGCCTTCGGCCTTGAGCTTGGCAAGATAGGTTTTCTCGTTGACGACGTAGGCTATGTGGTTATCAGCACATATGCTCGAAATGATTTACGGAATGGCAACTTGCAAACACCCTTTACAGGAACAATAACATCGCTAGGCTGAATTTTGTGGTTAGGAGTCCACTTGATGGCTCCTGGGAAGGGGGAATCTTCGACCGGAACCGCTCTAGTGGCAGAAATGAGCAAGGCGTATACGAGGCCGAGATGATGCATCTTCGAAAGAGTATCAGGCTTGATTGTGATATGAGAGATGAGCAGAATATGATTGAATGAGTTGGTGTGTTGATTTACTCTTGGCTAAGTCGGAGACAGCCAAGTATTTATATTTGAGCGGGATACTCAGACTGAATGATCAAAGATTGGAATTTGTTTCAACGCCAGTATTGAAATCTGATTTTCATGTCGCGTAATAACACCAAGTCCAACGGTCCCCTAGTGCTGTTCAGAAAATAGACTACGCATGCTACCTACGTCACTGATGCATTTGACATTTCTTAAGCATGATGCCAATCCCTATTTTAATAAACTTTAATCTGGGGTAAGTAAATAACGCACTTTCCTCTTCTGGCGCGGGTTCTGTAGTTCATAAGTGGAGAATCGTCTCATGTCTTTCAGGGCTGAGGATGATTAACTTATATTGCAGTTAGTTCATTGGTGGGGCTAACAAACTAACAGTTTCAGCCGCTCGTATAGATACATACTATGGATTCTTCTACACTGGGTTCTTGAATCATGGCATGAAGCTATGAAATCCGTGTTACCTGATAGGCGCGACTATTATACCAATCTCAACTGCCGATACACGGCTTCACCGATGATAGATTTACGAATATCCTGTTTGGGATCAAAGACTTGTAGTATCGACTCTTGTATCGTTAGCTATCACACAGACTCTTCTCGGACCGGCAAGAAGTTCATCATATGAAGAATAGAGGCCAATTGTATAAAGACCCAAGTTCGACTACCATAGAAATTCTACAATCGAATCCCACTTCCTCAACCTATCATATCTTATTGTCCCCTCTTCGTCATGCAGATTTCTCTCTTCACAGTGGCCGTCCTGGCCGTCAGCGGGTTCGTCATGTCTAAGCAGCCCCGCAATGTCTTCTCCCAAGGAAACTAAAGCCTTCGATAGTGCTCACGCTGCTACGCACAAGGCTGCTGCCTGTGTGTCTAACAGAATGTCGTCCCCGGTCGGTGGAACCCCTTTCAGCCCAAGCTACAACTGGCAAACCACCTATGAAGTCCTTGCCGATGCTACCCAGTGTGCTTGCGATATGTATAAGCAGCGAAACACTGGTGGTGAGTGGTGGGACACATGTACTGATTGTACTTTTGTAAGCTTAAGCTCCTCTAAGCCTGATTGTTTTATGGCTAATTATCACTAGGATGGAACGATTTGCACCTCAGCCGAGGGCCACATCGGTGGCGATGAGGTAAGATCAACAAAATTAGTATCATTTGCAGAATACTTATCAGTTTACAGTTTACTTATTACTGTGAAGACAAGTGTGGCGCTCAGGGTGCTGAGGCTGAGTAAAGGATTGAGAGATTTCTGGTACTATAGATACTTTGACATGGCAGTTTGAAAACAGACTTTATTCGAGATATCTATATATTCAAACAGTTATTAGTATATGATACATGTTTTAGAACTGCACTACCGATAGTTTAATTACCTTGGTAACGCTTTTTAAGATTTATATAAGCTTTTCAAGAGGAAGAATAGGTCTGGTGAGCTGGCCTGAAGAAAGGACCTTGGTAATTATACTAAGCCTTGAGGGATATATTATTACTAAATGCTTCAGGAACCGCACTAGACGGTATGGTCATTTATAGATATCAATTTGATGTTATTTTATGCTCCTGCTACTTGGATACTTTAAGAAGTCTAATGTGTTATTTACAGTCAAGACTTGTAGCTGAGAGCTCATCTCACCACAAAACATTTGGTGAAACAAAGAGAAACACAGCGCCCAGAGAAAGTAAAACTATGACCGTCAAGACCCAGTATAGGCCCATTATTACCACTTCTTTGAAGAAGTTGAAAGTGGTTAAGAATTGGCTAGCTAGTAGGATCGCTCTTTGCATAAAGAGTAAGAATATAATCAGATAGGAAGACAGGCACAGAAATTAATCTTATCAAGTATGTAGGTCACAGTATCGGCTTGATCTGCACCAGTCGAATGACTAATCTTATGATTGGGATTTTCAACAGTTCCAGAAAATGTGTTCAGGCCACTGTTGAAGTTGTTGAAGATAAATGTAACGAGACCAATTTGCCTGGCATAAACGACGCCACCGTCAACGCCATTCTCTTGAAAACCGGCAGTTGCTTCGAAGGACGGTGGGGTATCTCCTGGGTTGATGACACCCGGTGGAGAAGTTACCCCATTGCCGTCGTTCAACTTGTCCTGAGAAAGCATGAGTATCAAATCGGTTGAGTTGACGATTGTTATCGCAATGGATCGTGTGTCGCCCACGATGAAATGAGGATCAATGTAGAGAAATAGTTAGAAGTGTGACAGCGATGGATCTAAAGTCTTAAAGTCGGTTGATTTGAGAAGAATGGCAGAGAGAGAACAGCGGAGCCTGCTTACATACTTAATCAGAGAGGATTGGTACGTTGGTGTGATGCCAGTGGTATCATAAATTGCCTCTGCCTTTCAGCCCGCTACTTGCGAGAAGGACAATTCTAGACTACGACAGTGAGTCTCAAATAGGAAATGAGATCCGATAGCTTATTTTCGTAGTTATAGTACGGCATCGTAATGTATCACAATATCAATGTGGCGTTGTATGGGCGGCCAACACGTACAAACAGATGTTGTGAGGTTGTGAGACAAGTGAGGCACTAGTACATATTACAGGTGAGACAGGGTAAGAGAACCGTGCGAGATATGCACAGCCAGTGTCGTTTTTTATTTGGCAGCGCTTTGCCTGACTAATCGTCACACATGAGATGCTGCCAGACGGAGATGGTTTTTCATCTCGGATAATATGAATATTCTTGCAGTTCCAGGTGATTGGATGCAGATCAATGGAATCCACGGAGGACGAAATTGGCCTTCATTTTCGACGACGTGTCCTTGTCTAGATATTTAGGCAGGCTAGGAGACTTTGTCTATTAATATAAATTTAAGATAGCTATGACGTTATTAAACAGTCCGCACAGTGTCATTGGAGAAAAAGGTACAAATGGCTACATAATGGATAATCTGTTAGATCTATAGCTAAATCTATTTAGCAGTCAGGATAGTGGCGACTGATGCTAAAAACTCATCACTGAACGCCCAGTCGTCATAGCCCTTACTACTCTTCGGCGTGTAGAAAGTTGAGCGGTCATATTTGGCAAGCGGAATCTTCGCCTTTATGCGGAAAGGCAGATCAGGGTTGCTTGTCCAGTGGCGACCAAAGACAATAGCCAGCTTGTAGTCTTTGTAAGTCTCATCGACAGCCTTTTGCGCAGACTCGCCATTGAATCCTCCGCTAATCATAACGGGCGCTTCCTTGCCCCAGGCATGAACGGCGAAAGACACATCATTGTCCCCGCCGCAGTCAGCATCGTCGTTTCCCCGGATACGGGCCTCAATCAGGTCAAGGAATCCAATATTTAGGGAGCGGAGCTGCTGGACGATGTAAGTGAAAGTCGGGATAGGGTCGTCCATGCCCATGCCTATGAAGTCGCTCCATGGGCTCAAGCGCATGGCCACCTTGCTGGATCCAATCTCCTGCGCAGTTGCTTTGACAACCTCGAGAGGGAACCTGGCGCGGTTTTCAATGCTGCCACCCCAACGGTCTGTCCTCTTATTGGTGACATCTTGAAGAAACTGGTCAGGCAAGTATCCACCACCGCCTTGAATCTCAACTCCATCAAACCCGGCCTCAATAGCGTTTCTCGCAGCAATACGGTAGTCCTCGATAACTTCTTGGATCTCCGCTTCAGACATCTCTCGAGGGAGTGGATGATCCGGAGAGCTTGCTATAGGACTGGGGCCGAGGATATCAAGGCCCAGCTCGCTCCTGAGAGTAGGGTTACTAGCGCGGCCTAGGACCCATAGCTGGCACCAGATGTAAGACCCTTTAGCATGGACAGCGTCGGTGATTTCGCGCCAAGCAGCAATCTGGGCCGGAGACCAGATCCCTGGCACATTCCTGATTCCGAGAGTACGCTCGGAAATCTGGGTGCCTTCGCTGATCAGGAGGGTTCCAGGAACAGAGGCTCGTTGAGTGTAGTACTCTAAGGGACGGTTAGAATAACCAAGAACATATGAAAACTTGGCCGAACATACCTTTCATCATGTCCGTGGGAACATAATTATCTTCGGCACGGAACCGGGTAAGAGGCGCCATAACCATGCGATGCTTCAAGTAGCAGCCAGCGACCTCAAGAGGCTGGAAGAGTTTCGACATCTTGCTTATGAAAGTTTCAACTAAGGTGGAATCAGATGCTATAAGTAAATAAGTTTGGATTATGAATAAGACATTTTCAAAGAGCCAAATAATAGAACCTACTATATATATATAAAGAGTATTAGGAATGTTATAGTGTATGATGCGTTATGTATAAGTGTTGTTAATTATTAATTAGGAAAAAAATTTTATAGCTTATTAATAGACCGGAGTTATTTGTGGGGCTGCCTGCGTTATCGCCGGCGATATAGATAACCCCGAGTTTTGTGCTTGATGGTGATTACTAACGGATCCAGATGGGATTTGAGTGAAAGAGTAATAGCGCCAAACTCAGTGACAGATACGACAAAGGTTATTTTATCGCTATGCAAACCGTATATGCTCCTTCATAACTCGATACTTCCCACCAGCCGTCAAGGGCTCCCTTACATACTCAAGCCAGAGATCATCGGCAGTGTGTTTCTTGACGACAACACTTAACACTCTCCGTTCTTTGGTAATTCCATACGGCCAGATAAGCCGTTCTCTAGGCCAGCCTCTAGCCAAACCTTCAGCGAGTTCTTTCTGTTCCCTCACAGCAGTAATCCTGGCCAACTTGGTTGGAACGTCAGAGCAGTGACTTCCAAGGTCCCATAGCACAGGCCACTGTTCTTTCTGGTCTGTCAGAAAGCTCTCAGCCCATTCGCAAGACTCTTCTCTTGAGATAATCTCATACTTGTTTGGGTAATCTTGGATAAGTTTAGTGCCACGTGATATCTCGAGTCCCTCCTCCTCGATCTCGATAACCCTTGTAGCCATGGCAATGGTATGCCTAACCATTGTAAGACTCTCCACCCGATTGGTCTTTTCTCGCTCGTAAAGCAGTCCGAGTGCTCTTCTCCGAATGAGAGGTTGTCGACATTTGGCAGCTATCCAGTAAACCGGCCCAACAACCTCACTTTCAAAGGTGAATGATGGCCCTTGCATGTTATCATTGTCGTAATTTACCACAAAAGTTGCACAATCAGTGGCAATGGACAAATCGCATAGACCGTTCCTATCGCACACATAGTCTGACCCTGAAATCATCGAGTCGAGGAACACTATCATGAGACAGTGCCTCTGTGTAAGAAGCTTTGCAGTTCTTGTGTCTAACCCATCAAGATCACTAAACGCAAGGTACGCTTCAAAGGCATGACGCCAGTTCGCCAGCTCACGGGTGAGATGTTTGTACCTTGACTGCAGAGTATGTTCCTCAGTATCCGAAACTTCTTCATTGGCGCCCTTTGAGCGGCACGACTTGACCTTATAGATAAGAGTGAATCCGATATCGACGAGGTAATATAAGACGCATCGCGCGTCAGCCAAGGAAGCGAATTTGAGCGGCGCCGTCGTCATTTGTAAGAGGTGCCGTGGGACTTCAACTCTATCATTACCGACATATGCAACTCGTAAGTATATGGGGGCCAAGTATTGTCGAATGATGTCAGTCTCTGGTGTTTTGCGGTCCTTGATGTTTGCAAGAAGCCTTCTTCCTTGAAGTATGTGCATCTTGGCTGCGTTTTGATGCTCATGACCTAGCATGAACTCAATACAGACAAAGAGCAAGCATACGAGTAGAGGCTTAACTCTCGACTCCGTCGCCAAGGGCCATGACCGAACGGCGAGGATGGCTTTATTGTATTCCAAGATGGCGGGTCTGTAGTTGGGACAGATGTCTCTTGTATCCTTTGTCTTTTCAGCATACATTAAGCTGATTGCTGAGATGGCATGCCGTATCGCGGCATCGGTAGGTGCAAGTCGTAGTACTAGATCACCCCAGAAGTCGCTGTCTATCGTGTCGCCAACTTGGTGAGAGACATGACCTCGATAGTAGTCAAAAGCATGCAAGCTCAGCTCTACCCCAAGATCGTGATTGAGAGCACGTGTGATAAGTGGACGCTCTCGAATGATGAGTGTCTGCTTGGTCACACTGTCTGTGTCTCCATAGCCATCGCATTTGCGACCAGTGCCGATGCATCGTTGACAGCCCGGCCTCGCCTCGTCACATTTGATCTTGCGGATTCTGCACGGATCGATCCAGTCAGCATGCGATGTGAGGGGAGTGGATCTCGTTAATTTCACCTGCATGTCATGCAACCAGTGCGAGCCTTGGGAAGTCCCTTGCGATGTCGCGGCTGAGAAGCCCTAAGTAAAACTCGTAGTCGCTCTCTCGACATTCAATTGGTGGTGAAAGGATTTTACTACCCCCTCCCAGTGCGTTAGCCAACCGGCGTCAACGAGGCGAATTGCACGTAAAAGGTATATTTCTGATGATCGCAGCAAGAAAATCACAAGCAATTGATGTATTGAAGTGTACAAGACTTACAGTACTAGAGGATAGTGGCACTTTGTTGGGCTTCGGAAAACGATAAGCGGTGCTGACTCTGGGGACATGCAGTCAGACGTCAATTATTTAGTATCCCCATCTGAAACGACCCCTGCGGAGTAATTTCGACTGTGTTTATTAGCTTTTACTAGAAGGCAAAGGCTCGCGGTTAAGATCAGGTTAATTATCGGGTAAGCACTTAGCGCGTTTGGCTTCTCCTGTTGCTGATGTAGGCCGTGTCTGCGAGTCATGAAGTCTGCTGTAGGAGTCCTTACCGAGTCAAAAAGGAGATAAAAATAGGTCAAATGACTCTTTGGAACAGGAGCGATGGGTAGATGGCTCGCTTGGATTTCCAGAAGTAGTTAGACCAATCTATTTTTAATTTGAGCAGGTCTAGGGTTACCTGCAAGCCATGCTTAATTATTTAGTATGTGTAGTATGTAGGTATAGGAATTGCATATGTGGAAAGAACTGGTCAATTTTCCAGAAAAGCAAAACGTTCAGAAACCTTAAATAAAAGAGGCGGGAGACGCGCCTTTATTGCGCTTCCTCAAGCTTTGCTACTCATTTTGAGCTGTAGGTAAATCCATTGGGAAAGTAAAAACATTCTACCATAAGCTCTTTCAAGATAACAATTCTTCTACAGGCAATAATTTAAACAGATTGCACATATAGACTTGATCAATAAGTCATATTTTCCATGTCATGAAGGAGAGCCTTGACCTGAACCATTTCCCCATCGTCATACTTTGGGATACCCTGTACTGACCCAAGCGGTGCTGCCCAGGCGGCCAAGGTATTGCCAATTTGTCTCTCGGTGAGCTTCCAGCGCTCAAGCATTGCACAAGCAAGATGATAATATTCATTAGCATATTGCATAAACCCGACGCGCTTCCACATTCCTTCAAGCAAGTAGCCGTCAGAATTGACCACTTTATGATTGCCTTGTAGCCACAACCATATCCAGCGGCTTAGGCCTGTAGCTACCGGGGTTATTTGTGATGCATCGATGAGAGTTGTCTGGTACTGGAACACAAGACAACAAAGAGCTGCACTCTCGTCAGAAACGAAAGAGAAAGGACGTTGAACATACCAGAGACAAGTGTGAACATGTTGAAAGAACTGAGAGAGTGAAACATGTTGAGGTCTACTTCATAAGGTGAGCATAGCAGTCTGACAGCAGACGATACTGTCAGTCGTGATTGGTCCGGAGTTCCTTTGGTAATCAGGTAGAGATGATGGAAACATTCCGTTGCCGTCTCTGCTTGGAAACAGATCTCGGGACAGACCAGTCCGGTGTTGAGTTCAAGTGATATAACCCTCGGTGGCAGTCTATAATAGAGAACGAATGCGGAGTCGAGAAGATAGATATAAGTTGCCGTCCTAGGTAGTCAGCAGAATCCTATTAAAAGCTCGATTTAGATGTACCGAATCATGCTTTCAAGGAGTATGAACCTCGCCCATTTCTGTTGAGTGGGGAATGTAGTATCCAACTTCACTAGGCTCAAGTTGTAGAGACCAAAGGATCTAGCGATCTGCCCGGAACCATTAGCAAAAGTCGCAGATACTAATAAGCTGAGGCGTACCGAGACAATGCAACTGTATCGATCTTTTCGAACACGTTGTCTCCCCTCTTTCGACCCCTCCCAGTTCTGCGCAATACATATAAAGTACGCAGCATGTAGCGCCTTCAGCTTACCCCACACTAACGCCTCATCCCCAACTAGGTCCGAAGACGCAATGATAGAGTCATCATACAGAATATTGTCGGCAAAGACTACTTCCTCAACTGGCGTAAGCCACGCCATTGCACGCAGGCAGTCATTGGAGTCTGGAGATAAACATGCCCCAAGAACAACCATTGATGCAATCAGCCCTGGAAGTTCCGCTTTGGGGTTAAAGGTTGGTTTGTGGATGATGGGACTGTTGGGATACCAGCCGGACCAGAATAGCCGTAAGAATCTGTGTAGATTGCAGGGCGAAAAGAAGTCGAGGCAAGCTTTTTCGACGATGGTAGACCACTCGATACCTACATTGGAGTATAGTCGAGGTCGAGTCAAAGTTCTCTTTATAATGCCCATAATCTCGCGTGTTTTGACGACCAAAGATTCGCAGGAAGAGTCGTCGTTGATTTTGTTCAGCTGGCGTCTCTGAGCTAAGGTACCGCAGTCGAAACCATCGGCGATACCAGGTGACTCGGTGAATCGTTTCAGAAATGGTAAAGCCAACTTTTCTCGTGTGGTGACATGATCGAAGCAAGGTCCAAGATGTAGGCCACTCACGTTGATACTATTCCAGACATCAAAGTTGAGGACTGGAGATGGAAGGGACTCACATTGAAGCCACTCTAGTGAGTAGTCAATGGAGTCAGACAAGACGACAGGCATCGCGTTAGCTGCTTTAGCAACACCACAGGACATCTCTTGTTGGGATAAGCCATTTGTCTCTGGTTTTGACGATCCTTCTGAAATCACTGATGTCCTGGAACTGGTTACCCGCTCATAAGAGCAGTCGTAGTTCCGCACACTGCATGTACTGCACGGAACACTGCGATCACAACCGCGCTTCAGGCGGATGCAGCGATTGCAGGCCCTTTGTCTCTTGAATCTGGGTCCAATAGCAGGCAGAGTTGGTATCTCTGACCCGTTTTCAAGGCGAACCCTGCAGATTCCCCAGTGGCGCTTGAGAGCATCTCTGAGGAGCATCATTAGTAGACGTGGCTGGGATAGTGGAGCGAGAAAGACATACCTGCGAGTGAATGTCCGTTGACAAAATGAACAAACAGAGGGCGAGTCTGAGGTTCCTTCCAGGTTGGCATGGGGGGTCAGTAACTGAAGAGTTGAGGAAAGCTCTACAGGGACATGGGCTGCTGTACATACCTGGACGCCGGGGCAATAGAGCTGACATGCGCTGCTGAGACTGAGCTGCGGCGGAGGCCATGGTGTGATTGACACTTCAACTCAGGCCATGCCTGAGTGTATGAGGTCAACTAACCGTGAAACTGACAAGATCCGACCGAAGATACCTCCGGGCGAAAGGCAGTGGAACTACCGATATGACAATCCCACATACAGATCATGGCTCGTTTGGTGATTAGTTAGAACCTTGTTTGGAGAAAAATGCGGGGAAGTGACAATAGCTTCATCGCCATTGGTCTTTTGCGCTTTTGTGGCGGTGGACTTTTCCCGCTCTCCCCACATGCTAAACCGAGTCACTTGCACCAAATTCAGTTTAGTCACGGTTGTCGAGAGTGCGGAGGTGGAAGACATCGCGGCTCCAAAGTTAGTGGGGCTGCGACGTATCATGACCGACTCATAGAGTTATAAACGGCCTTGCGTCGTGCTATTACGACATCAAATTGAAGAGGAGTCAATGCTTTACCATTTATTCAACTACAAAAACTCTTAACCGCAAGAGTAATTGTCATCATGTCCCCGCCAGAAGAACATCATGGCCTCAAGTCCAAATGGCCCCAGGCGTTCGACCTGGCCGGGTCCAATTCCCCCTGTCGAATCGAAGGAGAAATCGGTGATCTCGTTGTCCTCGGTGAAATCCCAGCTGCTATTGACGGAACATTCTACCGAGTCATGTGCGATCCTTTCGTCCCTCCTCACCCTGACAATGTTCCCCTCGACGGCGACGGTCACGTCTCTGCGTTTAGAATCCGCGATGGTCGAGTTGATATGAAGATCAAATACGTCGAAACGGAACGCTATAAGCTTGAGAGAAAAGCCGGCAAGGCTTTATTCGGGCTGTATAGAAATCCGTTTACGCATCATCCTTGTGTGAGAGCCGCCGTTGACTCCACTGCCAACACAAACATGGTCTACTGGGCCAATCGTCTCTTGGCGCTTAAGGAATCTGCACTTCCTTATGAGATGCACCCTGATACCCTTGAGACTCTCTGCTACGATCCATTTGGGGGGCAGGTCAAGGCAAAAGCATTTACAGCGCACCCGAAAATTGATCCATTCTCTGATGAACTCGTGGTCTATGGCTACGAGGCCAAGGGTCTAGCGACTAGAGATATAGTCATTTACTCGCTGGACAAGAACGGAGTTAAACATGATGAGCAATGGATTGAGTCTCCCTGGTGCGCTCCCATCCACGACTGCGTCGTCACACCAAATTTCATCGTCCTCATCCTTTGGCCCTTTGAGGCCAATGTGGAGAGGATGAAAGCGGGCAAACAGCATTGGGCCTGGGACTATAGCCTCCCAGCTACTTTCATTGTGGTTCCACGTCGAAAGACTTCCAATATTCCAGCTTCATGGAAGCAAGGAGAACACCGCGTCTACGGTTGGAAGAACTGTATGAACATCCACGCAGGTAGCGCTTGGGAGGAAGACAATGGAAAACTGTATCTGGAGACATCTCGAGTTCACGACAATGCTTTCCCGTTTTTTCCACCCGTGGACGGGAGGATGCCAGCTCCAGACGCCAAAGCTGACTTTGTTCGCTGGGAGATCGATGTCAATGCCCCAAGTGGGACCCAGATGGTAGACCCAGAGGTCATTCTGGACGTGCCATCCGAGTTTCCGCGAATAGACGAGCGTTTCATGACCAAGAGAAACGAATACCTCTTCTTGAACGTCTTTATCCCCGAGACGTCCCAAGGCGGAACAAATATCTTCCACGGACTCAATGGCTTAGCTATGCATAGCCACAGCACTGGTGAAACTAAGTGGTTCTTTGCGGGCAAGGACTCTCTTGTCCAAGAGCCAATCTTTATTCCTCGTACGCCTGATGCGCCAGAGGGCGATGGATGGATCATCGCAATGCTTGAGCGGCGTGTTGCTAATAGGAGTGAACTTGTTATTCTTGACACGAAAGAGTTTGAGAAGCCCGTTGCTTTCATACAGCTTCCTATGCATCTCAAAGCTCAGGTACATGGGAATTGGATCGACAGTAGGACAAGGGCGTCTAAAGGGGCAGTTGTGAGGCAGATTGGAGAGGTTAAAATCAGTGGAAGAGGAGCTCTGGAGCCATTGGCATGAGGGTGCAGGCGGGACGTAGGCTTTAGTCATTACCGTTAGTCTTAAGTTGGGAAATTATATCGCGTAGGAAGCTTTGCATTTTAACGAGTGACTAGTTATCAAGAAATCCCAATATCTCAGGCTATTGTTATCCGGTCATTGGAGTAATTGCAGATAAGAACTTCCATCCCGTTGCTGTAGAGTCCCCATCAAAATCAAGACCGAATAAACTTAAGTCCAGCACTGTCCAGATCCAGGGCCGGGCTGGCACTGCATGCGACCGCCGCCGCAAGACCAGCAGCCATAGTTACCAGCGCACTGGCACTTTCCGGGCTGGCAGTCCGCGTGGGGAGAGTAGCAGGGGAAGCAGCTGCAACGAGCCTCAAGACCACGGAGGGCGAGAAGGGGCTGCGAGATACTTTGTCAGCACAGCTTTGAGATGATTGTAGAGAGTTGAGTTTGCATACCTTGTCGATACCAGTGTAGGTGTAACCACCGTCCTCAATGGTGACGGTGTCGGTGGCAGGAGTGGCAGTGACGCCGAGAGAGAGGAGGAGGGAGACGAAGAGAGTGGCCTTCATGATTGCTGCAGAATCTTATGAGGTTGAATAGTTGAGTGGATGAGTGAGGATGATGAGGTGAAAAGTCTGCGAAAGCCTTCGACTTCTTATAGTCTTGAGGAGCTATGACGAGGCAAACCATTGACGCTCGCTCATGAGTGATACCCAAGAGAGTGCTCATCTCACGATTCACCAAGACAGTCTGTGCTGCACTTCGCCTCATGCAACTGAATCCTCTCAAAAGTTCTCAACCATAAGAAATTAGTCCATCATCATCATCATCATCATCATCTCGGGTTGACGCTCTACTCATTGGCTATCGCTTCACCGTGAGGTATTTCTCACTTAGGAAATGAGCGGCTACACATACTAGGATACAAGCTACACTAACTGACCAAACCGTACTAGTATCACTTCTATTCGCTACTCAGTGCAGTAATAGTTAGTGAACAAGTCACAGAGGCGAATAAGTCGTTGTTACGACACTTGCATAAGGGAGGATCGTTGGGTTTACAAGGATCCTCCTCGTATAACATAGACGCTCAGAATTGCACGTGTGTGGCACGTCGCCCGATAGTCCGAGCGGGAAATAAGAGTGCATGTGCCGCAAGCTCGGATTCCACTTGCGAGTTCGGGACCGAGATGTTGAGCTCCATAATTGATCAACACGGACGAGAATAACCGTGCACCGTCTTCTCTTTTTGGAATATTTGTGATTCAGTTGTGTTTGTTTTACGTAGGTGAAAGTACTTGTGAGAGTGGGAGCTGCAAGGCAGGGTTAAGTCCGACGTGAGAGTACGAGAGCTAATGCAGCGGGTGAGATTCCTACGATTGATGGTCCACTTTCCCCAGGACTAGCTAGCCTCGAATTCGTTTCTCCATTTGCTGATGGTGAATTATTTTCTATTCTCAATGTACCTAGGCAGTCTGACTTGTTACTCAAGAGTGGCAGAGCAATGCACGATCCTGCGCGTGAGGCTCACAAACTCAAACTGTACAACAGTTGTCTTATTCGACGCTTTTTACTCAGCCTCTGTTTCAGAACCAATTCCATCGTGACCATAAGCACTTGAGTGACTTTGTTTTCATCTCACCAGTCTCGTAAATCATGCCCAATTAGAGCAACTCAGATAGTTCCTTCAGCTCTCAAGTCCGTAGGTGTGACTTAACTAGCTCATGCAATAAAGTCCGCAGGCCCCTTTTCTCCACGACTGCCGTTTGGCCCGGTTGTCTTACTCGGAACTTACATGCGGCGCGGGCCGCAGATTATTCCGTATAGCGTATGGTCGCCCTCACTCAACGGGCCTCTCCTCCGTAAAACTGCTTCCATTTACAGCCTAGGCTGGCAGGCGGAGGCAAGAAAAGAAAACTCAAGACCTTGATGCTAGGTGACAGCAAGAGTAACTTAGCGTAAGTTTAGTTATTTGGCATAAACTTAAAAAACACCTTTTGCTGCATTCATTTTAACACGTTATAGCACCGCCTGATATGTCTTGCTCCCCAAGGTTAGGTTCCTGGGGCAAAGGCCTTCAGTCATGTGCCGCAAAGAGGCATTAAATCTAGACCTCACGTAAGACGGCATTTCAGGAAGGTGGCCTCACTCGGCTGATTTACTCTAATGCCGCGGCATGATCGACGAATAGTATGCCGAATGTGGCGTTTCATGTGAAAAGATGACTGCATGACCCCTTCTGCCCTATGGACGTGTTGCCTTTCGGATCTCGGCATATGTACACCCCCTAGAGTCGGACCTATCGGTGTTCATGAGGTCCCGAATCCGCGTACAGCACTATTTTGTAGGGGGCACTTTTGGGGGCTCGTCCGAGGTGTCCGCAGAAGCTGGCTTTTCTGTTTACCGCTAGCCAGCTGGGACGGTGTGAGATTTATGCCTATGAAGTGAGCGGATAAAGTAATGTTTACAACATTAGCCTTTCTTAGCCAAGTCCTTGACGGGAGCCTCTAGTTTCACCTCCGTCAGGCTTCCAAGCAACTTCCTCCACAAAACCGCACTGTCCTCATCTGCCGTCCCCTCGGTTAACGTCACCCGGTTCCCAATAACGATCAGCGCAGATCTTGCCCGAGTCAGAGCAACATTCATCCTTCGCATGTCCTTCAAGAAGCCGATCTCACGGTGCTCGTTACACCGCACCGTCACAAACACGATGATGTCCGCCTCACGACCCTGAAACCCGTCGATGCTCGATACCTCGATTTTGTGGGGTATACTGGAGAGCATCCGCTTGAGGACTTCGGCTTGGCGAGTATAGGGCGTCAAGACCACGATTGAGTGCGTCGTGGCCTCCGTCTCTGGACGGTTGGTTAAGAGCTTGCAGATGTGGAGGCAGAGCTCTGCTTGTCCTCTGTTCTCTTTTGACTTCTGGCCTGGCATTTCCTTTGCGTCGCAGTTGATGAAGATGGCCCGCTCGTAGTCTTGCATCCCCATCCCGGAGGCACCCTTCTGATTTGTGACCTTTGCTGGGGGGAATGCGAAGTCAGACTTGATCGGCGGTCTAGCTAAGCTGCTGATGCCAGACTTTAGCTTTCCCTCGTAGAACTGTCTCGAGCTGAACTCGCAGAGCTTTGGATGCATACGATACTGCGTGTCCAACATCAACGTTGTCAAGCTACCATCAGCCTTGGAGCCTTTGGCTTCGGTGTAGAGTCTCTCAAAGAGCGAGACGTCAAAGTCTAGTGCCAATGCAGTCTGATTGACAGTCGGTCGTAGTTGTACATGGTCTCCAACAAGGATCGCCTGCGAACAGCCCTTCACAAGTGGAACGATTGAGCTCGGCTCTGTTTGCTGAGACGCTTCGTCGACAATCACGATGTCGAAGAACTCTGAGCGAATCAATCCGATGCCTGCTCCGATGCAGGTTGTGAAGATAGTGTCGCTTCGTTTGACCATTTCCACGGCCTTCTTCATAGCCTTGTAGTCGTTGTGAATCTCTTGCCCTGCCATGGCGTCGCATGTATACTTGCGTAAATCATCTGCGACCTTGCGCACCTACACAAAGTTAGCTGACTTCACGAGTTAGGATCGGTGATGGATAACATGCCTCTGTCGATACTCGTACTAGATCGGGTTGACTCTTCCGGGCCAATGGCTGCTTCTGAAGACTTTGGATATACCGTCTCATCACATTATCCACTGCGTTATGTGTCGGCGCCGTCACGAGAACACGCGCTTTAGGGTTAGCTGTCTGCAAAGCACAGATCATCTCGACAATAGTCTCTGTCTTGCCAGTCCCAGGCGGTCCCCAAAGACAGAGAAGGGAGCTGTTCAACGCCAGCTTGATAGCCTGATTCTGGCTGTCGTTCAGTCTCTCATTCCTGCTGAAGGAATGGTCTGGTTGTGGAATGTCGGGGGATGGAAGACCGAAAATGATGCTGGCGACACCGCAGCAATCTTCCTGGTAGATACATAAGTCCTTGAGAGCGTCAATCATGGACTTGGACGTGACGAATAGGCCACAGTCTTCCAAGATCCATGAACACTCTTTGAAATAAGGTGGAAGCGGATGGAAACACTCGAAGCGCGCACGACCCGTCTCAGACATCGTCACGAGTGCGTCGATGGAGTAGTTGTTGCCTACCAACATATTTGAAGGCAGTGAAGCCGTCATCAGCCTTACGTGAGATCCCTTCTTCGGTGTTCCTGTTGTGTCGATTCTGAAGTCGATCTCAACCAGATTCCCTTTCTTATCCTTGGGAGATAGCCTCAGTTCATAGAGACCCTGCAGTCTCTTCGCCACACTTTCGGCTTCTTCAATGTGATCCATGGCAATGGCGATCATGTTTCGCATTAAATAGTCGGTTACCTTTTGGTCGCATACCATGAAGCGAGACGCATTAGGCTGCAGACAAACCAGAAAGAGGTCCAGCGCCAGATCTGTTGATCGAATCGTCAATGCTGCAAGTTCCAGAAGCATCGCGAGGTCAAGCAGCGATAAACTACCCGGGGTGATAGCGGAAAGGATGCTCTTGAATGGCTCCAAGATGAGCTGGCCCATGGTGTTGGCGGACAAGATGAATGCCCGTAGAATCGTCAAGAGTGATGCCTCCAATAGTATAACCAGGTCTTGGCTCTTGTCCGAACGGGATGACGACAGGAATGGTGTCAAGGTTATAGCTAGAGTGGGCTCAACAGCTAGAACTTGCAGCATCGCGTTCAGCAGATCTTTGTGGTCGACAGTAGCCTTCTCCATGTTGATCAGAATATGCTCAAAGCAATGCATGAGAAACTGTTTGTCGCTAGCTTTCCGGGCCAGTTGAAATACTTGCTGGTACTGCTCTACTGATACCAGTCGTGCGAGAGTAGACATGTCGTTGCCTCTCACGATCTCAATGAGCCATGACGGATCGGAATGCGATAAGACATCACTGAGACTGGGCACAGAGTAATCTCTCGGTTCCTCAGAGAATAGAGGCATTGTTTCCGTGGTATCGATCTGTTCCAGCCAAAGATCCAGGTTTCGCATTGAGGCTACGTCTCGATTGCTAATGACGTAGATTTCCTGTGACCAGTCAGCGATAATCGCCCGATTGAATGAGAATACTTGACTTACTGCAGCTGTGATAGGAGACCTATTCACTCTCCCAATATGCGTCTGAAGTCCCCTACTGAACTTGTCAAGCGCAATGCTCGCGATGATTTCAGCCTGTTCTCCCTGATCAACCACTTCTTGTCTTTTTCTGCGTCTGTCGCCTTTGTTCTGCACATCGCGGTAGTCTTGATCATTGTTCCCAGGTCTAGTAATGAAGACCCATGAGTTTCCACGCTGCTTTTCGAAGAGTTGAAAGACGTTGCCGTCACAGTAGAGCTGGTACTGCATCTTGGTCGGTAGCGAGAGGCGAGCCTGTCTTTGGGGTCCTTGGGAATGTGGGAAAGCGAAAAGGCGCCCAGTGTCGTTGATAACGCAATCTTGTGAACGCTCAATCTTCTTGGGGATGTAGATTGCAAGCGATAATCGCTCGTCGGGTTGGAATACGATCAACGTGCGCTGGAACAGCTCCAAGTTCGTGGAGACTGCGTCATGGAAGGTTGCAAGGCGATCAATCGAGGAGTCGTATGTTCTCTTCCACTTAATTCCGGGGTAATCGAGGTGGAATCGTTGAAGCTCTGGTGGGTAAAGTATGGCAGATGAGCATAGCGCATTCTGAACTAATCCCGTCACGGTAGCAGACCCTGATACATGAGCGAGGACCCACGCTTTTTGATCTGCTGTGAGGATGTTGAAGTCAAAAAGATGAAGCAGGCTCTCAAATGATGCATTGTTTTTGAGACACCATGAATATGCAATTTTGATGCTTTCAAACTCACCAATCGCAACATCTTCACGACTGAACAAGAGCTGAATAGTGTCTAGATCATAGCCTGTCATATCGCCATCCTGCGTCAGGCCCAGTCGTCGAACCCATTCTTTCGCGTCATCGTGAAGAACATCGAGTATGAATGGCGGAGCATCAGGTAGTGGCTTCGGGGCAGTGCGCAATTTGTCGGGGATCTTGATCCGATTGCCATCGACACACTGCGAGAAGAGTCGATTGAGCTCTTGACACTGGGCGCTCATGGGGCCAGAGACTCGAGCCCAATCGAGATATAGGTTCTTTACTTGACCCAGAGAGGCATTCTGGTACTTGGCGAAGTAAACGAGGCGGTCGTCGTCTGTAATGGGGCGGAACTGGATTGGTTCTCGACCGCCAGGGTATAGAGCTGGAGCTGAGACTGTTGAGGGGATCAGGTCGGGGTCCCAGGATACAAAGACTAACTGATCAGCTCATACACTTGGGATACTTGGATGCACTCACATGTATCACCGTCTAGATCACCACCAGACATAAGATCAGCAGCTGGTCTTCTTCCCCGCGTCGAAAAGACGATACAGTCCACCAGATGCGACAGCTCAGGCCGCTCAACTACCTTGAACTTCTGCCAATCGCCCGGATGAAGACACGGGTTTCTGATAACAATGATCTCACTGTTCTTCAAAGCATGTGGCAAACCATTCTCCTCCAGAGTTACTTTGACCGCACACTCGCCTTCCTTCAAAACATCCCATGCATCGCATACACCAAAGAGGAGTCGGGACTTTTGCACAAAGATGCGACACTTTTGGCCGCCCTGCTTGTTCAACATCTTCTTCAATTCGTCGTTGACATGGCCGTTGATCTGGGACTTGACGCTCTCGAGTCCTTCTAGGAGAACGCGTTCAGCGAGATCGGGGCGATTAACGTAGCTCAAGAAGCGGAATGCATCACGAAAGTCGGACTTGGCGTTGTTGAAGAGGTTGAAGTGATTGCGCTGCTTCAAGAGAAGGGTATCTTGGGAGATGCCCAACGCATGGAGGAGAATGATGCTCTCGTCGTTGAGGAACCCGTACGAAAAAGGCTAGGATGATAAGTGACAGGGAATAATGGCGATTGGCAGACCTACCTTGGAATGTTCGACTACTGCAAAAGAGTGATCATCGCCGCCGCTAAACTTCTTCATTGACTTGCGAAACTTGAGCAGTGCCTTTTGCTTCTTCATTCGGGGATCAACAGTGACAACTCCCTTGTAGCCACGATAGCGAAGTTGAAACACCGAAGGCCTGTATCGAATGTCTCGAAAGATAATTCTTGTTCGTCGCGCCAACTCTTGTGCGAGACTGGGCGCAATCAATCCACAGCCATCGGTGAAGACGTACTCATCTGTCTCAACATCTGGAATATCCTCGCATCGATCGGGATCAATGATCATGGCCGTCTTAGAAGATGAAAAGAGTAGACCAATCCGTTTGGCCTTCTTACCCACCGTCTTCATCTTTGTAAAATCTCCCATGCTCTCAATCCGTCTCGAAACGTCCTCTTTTGTCGCAGCCATGAGGAAACATGACCGCGACTTGAGTTGCGTATTACTATGCCCATAGAAATTATAGTGCACGCCGTTTAGAATGATACCAGCACGAAGGCATTTGATGCTGTAGTCGGAAACCTCTTGGCGCGTGCGGGGCTGAAGATCTGGCGCTGGTAGCTTTTCTTTGGCTGCGGCGCCGAAAACGAGTGGTTTGAAGGCTTCGAGGGAAAAGAGCATTAATCGGTCGGTTGGGTGCTCGGCTATGGCTCGGTTTGGCGTGTTGGGCTGAACTTTGAGGATCATGGAATGCTTGCATTCTTTGAGGTCGGTTTGGAGGGCGATTGCCTTGATGAGATTGGCTTTCTTCAGAGTAGATGGTGATGGAAGATTCGGGACTTGGAAATCCCAGACAATGTCTTCGAGGCTTAAACTTGGAAGAAGTGTGTGATGAAAGCCTTTATCGGCCTTCTGGGAAGCCATCTTAACTGAGTGCCTTGGAAGAGTCTTGAGAGTGTGGGTGAGAGTGAGATAAGAAGAGGGAAATGGACGCGCTTGAGAGGTTAGAGGGAAATTCAGATAAGCTCATCCAACGGAATTGAGCTTAGCACCGTGAATGAATCACAGTGAATATCATTGGGCGCTGGTGTTACACGGCATGCTGACCCCCTCACTTCAACAATCAGAGAGCATACGCCATGGCATTCATTTCTACCAAGCTCACCATGTCTTCGAATGCTTTTATCCCCAATATTTACATCATCGGCCCTCAATCCACTGGCAAGACAACACTCGTCAACAAGCTACAGACTGACCTAGAACACCAGCTCGTCGACCCATCAATCAACAAGCCACAAATCGTCTCTGAAGTCGCAAGGACTGTCCTCGCAAAGCATAAATACTCAGCTCACGATATCCAGACCTCTACCATCAGGTGCTTCGAACTTCAGCAACTCATCCTCGAAGCGCAAGCATCTTCCGAGAAGAAAGCGTTAGAGACTTCCAGCTGGTTCATCTCCGACCGTTCCGGATTTGATCCGCTAGTCTATGCAAAGCGATATGCCGCCCCAGGTGCCGTGCAAGCGTTGCAGCAACTCCCAGCTTGGAAGGATGTCAAGACCAGAATGGAGAGGTCTTTGATTGTGGTTTGTGAAGCGGGCACGCCGTGGTTGATGGACGATGGCGTGCGACTGATGCCTGGAAGCGATGGAGAGTGGATGCACATTTTTCACGACTTTTGCGAAATGTTGGATGGGGTTGGCTTGGAGTACTTTGTAGTGCCTCGCGCGGTATTGGATATCTCAGAGCGGGCAGGTTTCGTATGGGCGAGGTGGACTGAGAGACGGCAATCTTTGACGGACAATCAGTTCAATAGTCGATATCACAAGGAGTAAACCAGCCTAGTTGGCTCATACTAAATGAATAACGCGAACTATGTTTCATAATTACGGATGTTAGTCAAGTAATTTCCAATTCTTTCAGACTGTAACTATGGTTCGAGATGGCCGTCTTTTGAACCGATGCTAACTTTGACGGCGTGTACGGCGAGACCTGACTCGGAGATGTAAACGACCTGTTTCCATTGCGCCCGTTAACACGGGGTCTAATAGGTGTATATAATATTATTACCACGTCCGCAACTATGAGCCAGTTAACAACTCAAAAGAGTAAATAGCTAATAGTCGCGTCAGATGGATCGACTCCAAGGGGTCCGCGTCACCGGATATGCCCCAACGATGGCTGATCACTCTCAAGAGATATCTCAGTAGAGCGACCAGTTGAAAACTATACCATAATAGGCGATAGAATGATGATGTTCCACAAAGAACTGGCCCAACAGGGTAATCCGCCGATCCAGGTCCTATTTAGTACGGCGGGCCGCTTTAGCTGGTGCAGATCGTTGACGAGTACGTTCTCCCTCATTGGTTTACTGTCTGTTTGTCTGAGACACGGCACACTAGCGACATTGATATGTCGAATATTCGCGCAAGGAATCCAGTACCGACTTGTCTAATAGGGCAGGTCGGTGAGGTCATTATGTTGAAACATTTGTCTCATTTATGCAGGTCAAGTCAGCACAGATGTCCGAGACCAGTAATGGTAGGCAGACTAACTCCGAACCTGTATCATGATGGACTATCAGCGGCGCATGGTGAAACACCAAGCTTTCGATTGGCGACCTATCATCACTAGACAATCGATAGTCACTTCATGCGATGTGATGAATGATGTCAGGGTTTCCGTAGATGTTGTATCCGTGCGTGTGAACATCGCTGGAGAAACTCATAGCTGGCTATTTCGTTCCCTTATATTTGATCATCGCGGGTTAGCGTCAGCAGAACCCCTGACAGCTGAAATCTTCAGCTTTCTTAGCTGGGCGATCACTGACAATCAGCACCATAATGGGCTGCTCAAGTCCATTTTACATCAAAATCCGCATTTGCAGGCTTGGAACTGCCGGTATGAAAAATGCTGACTACGATTATCCTCAGAGATGTCAGATTTCTGTAAAGCAGGGTAAAAGCTGGGCCTATCTGACTACCACGGGTATAAAAGACCGAGGTCAAGCTGGACAAGTTTAACATATCTTCTCACTTACACCAATCCACTACTTCAACATTTCTTCATAATTTCTATCCTGGACCATACTATTGTACAATGAGCTTCACATTCAACGGCGTCAAGAGAGATGGCAACGGTGCCTACTACTACAACGATGGTGACGTTGAAAGCCATCGAATCCCCCTTTCTGACCAATGTTATGGTGACGTGCGAATGAGTCGCGAGCAGCTTGAGGAGTGGTTCGGCATCAGCAACGACACGCTGCCTGATCTCCCAGCCTACTACATCCTGCCCCGTCTCGACAGCACCTGGGGAGGCACTGCCGGCGGTGGCTGGTGGAACGTCACTGGAGACATTGTCGTATACAAACCAATCGAATGGGTTCCCTCCGTTGCAAGGATCAGAGACTTTCCCAAGAACAGCATCGTCACCAACATCGAAAAGGAACGAGTGGAGACTACGACAACCAAGCTGTATGCAAAGGCAGAGTTCGCCTTGGAGGTTTCAGCTGGAGGTAACTACATGGGGATAAAGGCGGAAGCTAAAGCCAAAACAGAGACTGGCGTCGAGTTTGAGAAGGAGGTCAGGAACAAGGATACCTACACTCAGAAGGGCGTGGTAGGCGATGTTGCGCTCGTCGAGGTTGCAGTGGGATTGATGCTTCGCGTTGAAGAGATCTACACTCACAACATCAAAGTCTGGGTCGATGGCCGCGAAAAAAGCGACTCGCTGGGATGGCACGGCGGTCCCGGGTGGAATGACATCCACATTCCATCGCGAGCACTCAGCAGAGTAGGCGGCCTCCAGTTCTCCAAAATCACCATGACTGGAGGCGGACATTCTGCAGGGCTCTATGTCCAGACACTTCCAGTTTTTGACGAAAACAAGGAGTTGAAGGATTTGCACATCGCTCTAAGCAACGTTGGATGGACGGACTGGTATGCTTATGTTGCCGGGAAAAAAGGCCCAAGTTCAGGACGGCAGCTTTTGGCGTACCCTAACTATCGCCCTTCGACAACTCTGATGCCACTGAACAAGACCCCACCCAAGGCGGAGTGAGTAAAAACAGGCCTAACAGCCAGTCCTGGATATGCATTTAGTTGTTTGTCTGAGGAGCTTGAATGGGGTTTAGCTGGTTATAGTGAAGGCCTTTGGGATTAGCTTGTATTTTGGAAAAGTGACGGCTGCATTGCGATTGTCAAAGACTAGCCGAGGATAGTTCACTAATTACAATCGAGTTAAATCATCAAGGCGATATCAAAGGGTGACCAAGTGCATCAAGTAGCGCACTTATGGCAAAGTAGACCTCGTTAGAGTCTGGCCCGATATCCACCAGACCAGCTTCATCTTGAGCATCATTGACCTTGACCAACAGCTCATATTTCGTAAGTGGCTTGCGTCTGAACATGTAGGATATGTTTTGTCAGTTACGTCTCGTTGCATGTGATGGTGGTATCTGACAAGACATGACAGTGTCTTATTCCATGCCACTTCCATAAGTTGCTTTGTGGTGGCTGAAACTGTTTGTCATATGATACAGCAGCCGCGAAGCACAACACTGAGCCCAGCGAAACATCCTAAATCCGATGTAAAGATTACTTGTGTCATAATTACGTCGAGTACAGTAACTTTCAAGCCGCTCCATAAGTATATACAGCACTGTTCGCTCTGCACTCTCATGATAATCCGAGTTGCAAAACAATCAAGTTCGCTTGATCGCTTGACATAACCTACAATATCATATTTTCAACCCCAATTTGTCCAAAATGGCAGAAACCGGCGTCGCACATAAAATCATCTCTGTTATTCTCCGCCTTTCCGAACTCTCCTCCGCTATAATCGTCCTGGGCATTCTCTCGCGCTTCTGCTACCTCGCAGGCATCGCGGAAGCGCATGTCGACGGACGCATCATCTACACCATCGTCGTCTCGTGCCTCGGTATTATTTATTCCATCTGTTTCTGTCCACCGTTCAAGGCAATGTTCTTGAGCTTTCCTTTTGACTTTGTCCTGTTTGTTATGTGGCTCGTGGCATACTGCTTGCTCCAGACGGTAAGATCTCATCACCCGCACAGCTAGCAACACCCACTAACCAGATTTCATAGAGAACTGGCAGTCACACTTGTTCTGGGAGGTGGTACTACAATTATTGGGGCTACTACTGGGGTCGCTTTTGGCGAGTCGGACCAATTGGGACGGTGAATGTTGACGCGGTGGGTTGCGCCTCGTGGAGGACAGCCCTTGCGTTTGCATTCATCGCGTGGTTTCTCCATCTTCTGAGTGGCGTTCTCGTGAGTCATTGCCAAGTTGGGCCGAATACGGCAGAGCTGACGCGAACAAACGCAGGGTATATACGTCTTCCGTACTTATATCAAGCTAGACGAGACCAAGACTGATATAAAGCAACACGCGGAGAAGCTTGCCAAGTAAGTATGAACCATTCTCATCTTTACATGGAGGGCTAACTATTCTGGCACTCAAGAGGAGACCCCAAAGTCCATGGTTATCAGCGAAATGTTGAAGCGGCAGACAATGTCTAGGCTACAATCCATCTCACCTCGTTTTCAAACGGGGAGGGTGCAGGCGGGGTAACGTTCATGTTTTGGAGTAAGCAGCCACAAACGGCGGAAGCCGAAGTACATACTTTCATTGATTCACGGAATATGCCATAACCCAAACAGATTGAACTTGTTGCATCATGCACAGATGTGTTATTTGCAGTTGAGGCTCATGGCTGAGAGCTTAAACCAGCAGACAGAACTTAGTTACAGCATGCACTTAATATTACCTTGCTAGTCTCACTCAGATCATCATAAAATAACATCCATATCACACACAGATACTATTACATTTTGTCGATTCAATTGTGGTTGAAGCCGCCTACAAGACTCTTGGCACACTCAACAGGATATCTAGTCACAGCTGCCCACACACCATCACCCAGGGTAACATCTGCCGCCTTGGTCGGCCCTACAGAACCATTAGACTTCAATACCATGTGTGAAGCATCAGACTCACCAAAAACAAACACAACAACAGCCTCCTTACCCCGCCCACCCAAGATCTCAACCGTAAAGTCAGATACCGCACAACAGGCGTCAAATTTGTTTGCCCCAACATACGGGACACTCCACATGAACGCGAGCTCGTTCCTCCCTTCGAATCCGACGATACGGTATGTGATGGAACCGTCAACGCCTCCGCCTATGTGACTCGACTTGCAGCGCAGCATGCCGCTCTCGCCTGCTAGGATTGTCTGCGGCGGCTGTGTATCTGGCGCCTTGGTCCATTGGCCGTGGTTGAGAGTCGGCCATTCGGGATCTGCAATGAGCTCCTCATTGGTGTGGTTTAGAATGACGATAAGCAACTCCCTCGTAGCCATAGTGTTATAAATCTGGAGGCAGGTGCCGATCGATTCTGCGGACAAGAGGTAGAAATGTATGTTGCTCTGCAACAACATGCCTTGAAGAACATAGCAGTTTAATATATTTTGTGCGGCTCCATCCAAGGACACCAAACTTGCATGGTCATCTCAGCTCCAAAGATAAGTGTTGGCCGTTAGGTTAAAGTTTAGGCTGCCTACACATATTACAAGAGCACCATAGCGTAGTCATCTTGTGGCGTTCCTGTCAAGCTACAACTGGCAGCCCTCGGGGATATTCAAACCAAGGAATGACAGATTATTGAGGGGATCCCCTAGGTTGATTGACAACACACCACTATTGAGACAGCCCACCACCCTGTGATCGTTTCAAGCCACACAAGGTGCATCAGATCATCATACTACTCATGCAAATACAGTGTACATGCGCACTGGGAAATTGCCAACGGTCATGATGGTGGGGAAGCATCAGCGGCTGATTAGTACGGAGAGCTGTCAAACCTTATAAAGACGAGATGTCACATCGCTCAGGGCTAGCCGAGCAACCGATAACACTGAAAAACACTGAAAAGGTTCTCCTGTGTCTCGCTAACACGTCATTTCGAATCTGCAATAATAAAGAGATACTGGATCATGAACTGCAGGGACATAGATCATCAGGGCATCCATCCAAAGTTTAAGTTTTAGTGAACCTTGACCTATGGCACCCTATGACACAGTGCCACTTAGACTCAGGCAACACACGCCAAAGCTGATAGAGTTTTTTTGGGGTTTTCTGGGTGCTGAAGTGTTGTGTGCTTACTTCGCTAGTCACTGCGCTAGGTTGCTGACAGCGGTCGAGAAGCCTCGCCTTGTTTGTCTAGCATAAAGGTGTCGGCTCATCTATTCAAGCTCGAAACATTCAAATAATGACGCGATGAATGTCCGTACGTATAAAGTTTGGATGGATGAGCTTTCATGGTAGACTTTCCTTTCTAGGGCCAGGTTTGAGGGCTCCTTCAAGGCCTCTGAGAGGACAGCTGCTAAGCCCCGTTAAAGAAGGAATAGGAGTTTTCGAAATATGCTAAGTAGAAGGGGTTAGGGGATCTATGGTTCACGACGGTACCACGCTAATGCCCAATCCATATGACAGGCTCTCTTAATCCTCTCGAGCTTGTTGATTGGACCCCTGCTGCTGCAGAACGGTAGCCATTCTGGCGAACCCATCACGGAGCCGCTGCCTACCCAGTGCCGCACCAGTGTCATGGAGAATACGTACTCGCCTGCATATAAATATCTGACCTTTCTGAATACCGACGGGGCAGGATAGGCCGACTCTTCCAGACAATGCGTCAATTTATGGTGTTACTCGGCTGTCAAGGCACGTCAAACTCTGCGAGATGATATCGGGTAATTGGATTGCTTTTGACACTTTCTAATCCTTACTTTTTAATGTTACCCGGCTCCGCGTTATACTTTGACATGCCATTTTATCCAAAGTTTTTGCTTCTACGGCAAGACTCGGGTCTGTAGAATGCGAACCCGAGACCCCGATGTAACCTCGCCTTCAGCCGCAGCGGATTCATCAAAAGCCTCACTGCGGAAACCTCGACAAATCTCCATTCAAGATACCACGTATAGAGCGCCCTTTAAGACTTTAAATAACAAAACCCCTTCGCCACCGGGGATTAAATGCAGACGGAGAAATGTCCGAAGCTTGCAATCTCGGTACTGGTCTAGACAAACGAGGCAAAGAGTCTTGCCCCCGCCCGTTGCGAAAGGCTAAAGACAAGCTTTCAGCTAAGGTTAAAAATTGTAACGTCGTGAAGCTCTAGAATTAAGTGGGAACAGACCTGGGATTGTTTCAGTCGATCAGTGTTTCGCAGGAGGTTTTATAATGTTGACTAAACGGTTTTGAGACTGGTTAGTTTTGGGGCATGGCACGATTGTCGATAACATCAGCCCATTGTGTTTGCTTTTTAATGTTTTGCATGTAATTTTCGGCTATGGAAAAAGGCAACTATTTTGACAGAGTCCCGAGAACCAAGTTGGCGGCCCAGTGATCTACACTTCAATCGTGGAGATATTCCCAAGCGACGATTCACTGCTGATCAAAAGCACAATTCCCTCCTAGTAAACCTCTTCCAGCAAAGCTTGATTCTCACTCGAGCGCCCTTTTTTCCCCGTTTCAGATCTCGGAAAAAACGGCATGCAACCAAGAAACCCCCTACGGCCCGAGACTCCTCGGTTAGCAGCACATTAGCCAATACCCATGCTCCCATCACGTCTTGGCTACAGGGATCATAATTTCTACCGGTTCCTTCTGGCGTGTCGATCTCTTGGGGAAGTCCCTCCGAGCTCCCTCTTCGAGATCCAGCACCACCACATCCCATCAATTGGTACATGCTATCTCCAGCGTATAATCTTCTCGAGCTGTGCCGCAGACGCATGAAAATCAGTTACTAACAGCTCGTATCAAAGGGCCGAAGGAGAGTCCTGCCGGAATTCCCTTTCTTTTTCTCGTGTCCAATAAGCTCCGTTTGCCGCCGACTGTTTCGGATCCCTGCTTTTTCCAGCTGCATGTTGAGATTAATGATAGAGTGATTCGGATCAGTGCATGCATCTTTCCCAGGAAAGTATGCTTCATCAGTTCTTTGTAAACCAACGCCGCCCCGTATCTGGTGGCGTCGTGAAGCGATCTGACATTGACCACTTTACCCCTGGATTTGACAGTTTTTAGCCAGTTGCATACAATACCCGTCTCACAAAAGGCCCGGGCATTTGTGGTGTGTGTGCCTCCCCCGGCACTGGAGGCTTTTGTGAAAGATTCTGATGCTGCTTTGTTGGGATTGTGCTGTAGTGTAATGATAATGATTCTCATGTGCTGATTTCGGAACCGGTACCGCCGCACACAGGCTGTATGCAGGACGTCACAGATGAAATGCTTTGGCTTTTCCTTTAATTCACGCCAACCCCATCTCGTTAGACCTGAATCTCAGTTTTCAATTTTCGAATCTTTTCGTTTATGAGTTGCACTGTCTGTTTTATATCTTGAGATATGGCTGGTGTCGCTAAAGAGGCCGTGGTGGTAAGTTACCATTCCGATCTGGCCTGAGCAAAGATCTGCATGTCTTGGCAAGATCAGGACCATGACTCGTTTGCTAACCGCGATCTACGATGCAGCCCATTGAGGCCGTGCTCTTCGGAATATCAACACTCCTCGTGCTCGCTCGATTAGCCCTTCGAACCATCCGACAACACCAGAGTCTCACCGTGAGCGATTGGTTTCTCGTCGTCTCTCTTCTCGATGCCGCTGCGTTATTTGGGACCGACACGGCTGCGTACAACTTGGGAGGAATGGATGAATATGATCCGAGTGCACCGCCGCGGAGTATTGAGGACCAGATCACGTTGATGAAGGTGTCGTTTGCGGGAAACTATTTCTACGATACGGGAGTTTACTTTCCGAAGCTGGCGTTGCTGGCGCTTTACTTTAAGCTTATTCCTCAGACGTTACCGCTGCTACGCAAGTTTCTTTATGGAGTTACTGCTTTGACGGGGTCATTTATGCTTACGACTTGTTTTCTGGATACGTTTTGGTGCGGCGCCAACGTATCTGTCAATTGGGAGCTTGATGGAGAGTGCAGCACGTTTGACTCGAAGACTGTCTTCCGAATTGATTGGGCTATGAATCTCATCTCTGACATGCTTGGTATGTCCATGTCAGTGGATTTCTTTTCAAAGATTTACTAATATTGATGATATAGTATTTGCACTGCCTTTTCCGCTTCTTTTTGGTCTACAGCTTAGTAGACGTTACAAAGCAGGTCTCGTCGCAATCTTTGCTTCTGGACTCATCACATTGGGAGCAAGCATTGGAAGATTTGCGACCGTCGAGGCAATTCACGCCTGGACCAACGTCTGTGAGTCAAGCCCTCTTTCTCAATACTTATACAAGTTCGCCTCTTATTAATGATAACAGACGTCCTGTCAATGACAGAGATCGCTGCCGCAATAGTCGTCGTATCTCTCCCCGCCCTCAAATCCCTCCTCCACGGCCTCGGCCTGCGCTCCTCCAAGCAAAACACCACGCAGACAGGCTCTGGCTACAATAAGCACTCAGGTACAGTGACAGCCTCAAGTCACTTCAACAAGCTGTCCAGCGGCCGTGACCACCACAGAGAACAGTACGCCTCCACGGCTCGCGTGGCGGCGGGCGCCGAAGAAGACTCCGGCAGTGAAGTGGAGCTGACCAACCTTCAAGGTATCTACAAGTCGGCCCGCATAAGTGTGACCTACCAGCGAAGAGAAGACGGTGACTGGCAGGGTAATTCGGGACGGGGGTGAGTGAATGTGCTGTAAGATAAATGCCAGTGTGCATGTGGATGGTAGGATGGATGTAAGCGTTGCATTAGATATGCAGGTGGAGCAACAAAATGGGAAATGGCCGGGAATAAGAGTGACACGACAGCTGGTCTGACTAGCCCAAGTTATTTATAATAGATAAATATACACATAGAATACAACAAGTCTATCATAGATCAGGTCATTATGCATGAATCGTTGACTTTCCCTTTGAGTTCAATGTAGAGTCTTGTTAAAACGTAGTGAGAACCTTGAACAACTAACAAATACGATGGATCCTTTATTGGTGCGTAAACAAAAAAAGAACCCCTCCCTCCATCCCAAACCCCAAAGATTAACCAACCCTGCCAACACACACATCGTCTCAACATCTCCCCCTGTCCAAATGCTTTCCCATGTTACATCCGTTGGTCCCAGGTTTGTTCTCGTTTGCATATCAACGGAACTGCAACCCGACCAATAACCACTTCTCGGTTACAACCCCTCCAGTTTTAGCCCCCATGTCAAGTGCCAACCCCTGCCATTTTGTCAATCAAAATCCCGTAAAGCTGCTTTGGCCCGACTTGCGCCGTAGAGATGCAGCGGGTAAAACTCACCCCATGGATCCTTTTACTGTTACATTCTCTGCAGCATCTCGTTCGATGCTGCTTTTCTTTTTTTTCTTCTGTAGCCGAGGTGCTGTAAGCATGCGGCGCATTAAATAAAGTAAGCACCATTAACTGGGAAATTTTAAAGTATACCTGCAGTCCTGTGAACCTTATTCCTTTTCTTTTTCTCTATTGCCGCGAGTGCACCATTTTTTTCCCGTTGTTTTTTGAAGTGGAAGACAATCGGATTTCACAATGGCATTCTTTATCGATGGAAAGGACTGCATGGTAGGTCACTTGGACTGTCGGTCTTTATGTCAGGTTGTGTACTCACGATTGTTTAGATCTCGGAATGGATCTTGCTTGCAGCCTCTTATGTCTTCGTCGGCCTTCGAATCTATGCGCGTCTCTTCCGCGCGCGTGAGAAGCTGACTTGGTCCGATTACCTGCTACTTTTGTCCGCCGTCGATGCTCTTGCCCTCATCATCTGCGACACTCTGACTTTCCAGATGGGTGTCATGGATGAGTATGAGACGTCTGTTAAGCTGTCCAAGGTATGGTCACCTCAATACTTCAAATACATCACGCGACTAACTCCTCTACCTAGATCTCCTTTGCCTCCAACTATTTCTACGATGTCGGCATGGGTTTCCCCAAGATGAGCATGCTTGCGTTCTACTGGGCCTACTTCCTCCCCTCTACCGGCATGAGCTCCGGCATGCGAAAGGCTCTATACGGCATCACCGCCTTTGTTTGCGCATCGTACATGGCAATTCTTTGGGATGACACTTTCTTCTGTGGAAAGGATGTTTCTGTTCAGTGGTCTCAGGAGGAGGGTGCTTGCAGTGTCTTCTATGCACCAGAGCCCTTCATTCTCAACTTTACCCTGAACTTGGCCTGTTATCTTGCCGGTATATTGACGTTTCCTTCTGCACGTCGCGCTTTACGAGATACTAATCGAATCTTTAGTCTACGCCCTCCCTCTCATCCTGCTGGTCCAGGGTGTTCTCCAGCCTTCCAAGGGTGTCACTGCTACTTTCGTGCTTGGAGCTCTGACCATCTGCACTACCATTGTACGATTTGTCACTCTTAAGGTCGGCACTGGCCAAGAGAACCTTGTTTGTAAGTCGCCCCTCTCTCGGGCAATACCAATTCAGCTTCTGACCTCTTTTCCCTAGATCCTATGAGTATGCTTGAGATGGCACTTGCCATTACTGTTGTCGCGCTACCAGGCTTGAAACCACTTGTGGATCGCTCCCCAAAGCGTGAGACGAGGAGCGAGGTGATTGAGATCAAGAACTAAGAAAGGACAATATTTGTACCTGGCCCTACAGATACTTAGCTTGTCACTTCTCTCTTATGAGAGTAACTGTTATTCTCTTCTATAAAAGTGTTCTAAGCTGTGCTACACTTGTCCCATTCTCGGTGCTCTAGATATTGTAATAAATCAGTTTTCGATTATGAAATGTAGGCGCTTGGAACCTTGTATGATGAACACTATGTTGCAGATAGCCTAAATAAGCGATATTTATCTAGCAGCGGGTGATTAAATTCCAACTGGAAACGCATGTCTTGTGCAAAGTTTGTTTCTATTTGGGTTTTATGTGGAATACAGAAACAATCCATAACAGCATTTTGGTCACGCAGACATCTAGAGACCTTGAGATACTCGTCTTTGTCGCTGTCGACTTAATCGTCGATTTTTTCCAAGGCCTCCACGATGAACCTTGCTGCTAAGTACACTAGTGGAGATGAACTGCTTTCTGTAATACAGAATCTAATAGTCAATATGTAAAACCTGATCCTAATTGTGAACAGCACGTCCTACATAAACATCGCCCCAAGAACCATAGTCATCCAAGTCCACAATGTAAGCTGATACCTGTGGGATGCTGAAGTAGCTATTGATGTAGCGGCTGGTGCCTCATCAGGGTGTGAGGACCCTGCGGAGGGGCCCTGATAGTTGGGGATGGATGATGAATAGGAATGAATTACTGAAATTTCAGGTTGGATAATCGGTACAGTACTGATTTCTGTGACTAGGCTCTTTGTGAATGAAGGCTGAGAGGGTTCCATCAGGGTATTGTTGTCGGACTCTGGTGGCTGTTTATTTTCTTGTTCTGATTGTGGGTCGTCTTGTGTTACTGTCGGCAGTGTGTGAGTTTTGTACTGGTTGCTCTTGTAGCTGGGATGAGAGTCGCTTTGTGATCTTGCAGTTGGTATGATGGCATCTGGTTGGTTGTTGTTGGTGTACTGGAGGTCTTCTGTAATTGGGGTTGCGTGAACAGTTTGTATGTCATTGGTAGTAGGTAAAGGCATTAGCGGATAATCTCCAGCTGTCGTCCCTGTAGTCATGGAATCAGGCCCAATGAGAGTTCTAGAGCCCAGGTCTATGGTTTCAAAGGAAGAAGATGACGAGATGGCCGTTTGGGTACAGTCCAGTGTATAGTTTGATTGGGATGTGGACTTGGAAGTCCGGACCTCTGTACTCTTGGCAGAAAATGATAAAAGGGAATAGTCATAGTTGGAGGAGGAGGAGGAGGAGGAGGAGGAGGAGGAAGAGACTGCTTGGCGATAGAGAGTCAATAGACGATTAGGCGATATCGCACGATGGAGAAGCTTTTGTGTCCTCTGGATCATGCCACCACAGAATAGAGTCGGATCTCCAGGACACGGAAGATCACAGAGTCCATTCGGCACAAATGCTGAGTCAGATAAGGAGTCTGACTTATAGCAAGACCTAAAAGGTATTAGCTCTGGTTCATAAACATCTGGGAATACTATTCCTTGAGGCAAACTTCAGACAGTATACCAAAACAGTAGACTTACTCTTGATAAATGCCAATGTACCTGCTCCCAGCAGCCAAAGCAATGCATTTCTCCGTAGTCATTTCTGGAATAGTTGCAACCTCTGTGAAAGACGGATAGCCTTGTAAAGACCCCAAACACCCCGTAAAAAGGTAATTACTTAGAACTGGAATATTCGTTGCGGTAATTGATGAAGGTGAAGGCAAAGTGAACACCTCTGATTGCTCAAGGGTTCCAGTAGAGGAAGTCTGTCTCCTTGTGGGCATGGTAATGGACTGTATTTCAGTTGAAACTTGGTCGACAGTGCTCAAGCTTGTTCTTGCAACCGTTGGTGTACTTTCGGTAGTTGAGGTCGTAATGAACGATCTCTCGACGGTTGACGTTTCGATGGTTGTAATACTGGTGCGGACGGATTCTTGGGTAAGGACACTTACAGTCAACTCTAGCGAGGATGACACAATGGTTGATGCAGATTCAATTGGATCCTTCGAAGAGAAACCTGATGCAGATTGTGATGATAGGGATGGTATTGGTGATGTTGTTGCTGGCGACATAGAGGATTGATCTGGTGAGAGTGTCAGGGATGATGTAGATCCGAATGAGGTTGTAACTGCTGTCGTTGATGAGAATATCGTTCTGGATGATACCAATGATGCAAGTTCCAGTGTAGACTCCGACTCAGCCTTTGAGGTCATCTCAGACGTCAGTTCTAGGGACGATAACAATGTAGATGTTGCTAGTGGGATAGTAGCAGAGGAAGTTGTCGACTGTGTCAGTTCTAGTGTCTCCTCTGATGTGATTTCTGATGATAATGATGATGATATAGATGTTGGCAAAGTAGTAGCTGATGCAGTGGAGGGTGAGGTAGTCGATGGTGTTGACCTGAGTGTATCCTCTGATGTTGTTGATGTGGATTCCAACGATGAGGGTAGTTGTGTAGGTTCTGAGGATGTCGATATTGGGGACGGTGTTGGCAGGGTAGAATCCAAGTCAGACGAGAAACTTGACGTAGAACCCGACGACGTGGAAAAAAGGGTGGATGAAATTAATAAGGATGTCTCCGATAATATTGAATCAGAGGTAGACGATATAGGTAGTGTAGAATCTGTTGATATAGATTGTGAGGTAGGTGAAGTTGGTAAGGGAGTCTCTGATGATATTGTATCAGAGGTAGGCAATGTTGATTGTAAAGAATCTGATGATATTGGCTGCAAGGTGGATAAAACTGAAGATAAGGTTTCAGATGGCATCGAATCTGAGGTAGATGAGATAGATGATGTAGAATCTGTTAATATAGATTGTGAGGTGGATGAAGTTGGTAAGGAAGTCTCTGATAATATTGCATCAGAGGTAGGTTGTATAGAATCTGATGATGTAGACTGTAAGGAGGATGAGATTGATGACGAAGTCTCTGGCGATGTCGATGTAGTTGTTGAGGATGTTGCTATTTCCTTTATAGCCAAGTTCCATAAAGGTGCCGAATAGCTCCCGCTATATGACTTATATATATGACACGCTCCTGTAGTGCTTAAATAGCCAGCAGCAACGCATTGGCTATTCGAGTCGCATCTAGCCAGACACTGTTGCATACTCTCTCCTAACATAAATGTTCCAATCCTTTGAAAAGAACTGGCGGCATTTTGGCATAGAAGAGTGAATCCCCGACTGCCAGGGCTGTCAGCTAGCTCACTACAAGACAGCGGTGCTGGTGACGTGGTCTCTGATGCTGTAGGTGTAGATAACATGATGGCCATGTTGTAGCCAGCTTGAGGCGCTGTATTAGAATAGCCACCATACCAGATACAGTAGTGTTCTGATTCTTTGTACCATACCACTTGGCAACCTGGAATGGCAGTGCAGGAGTCTATACATTCTGCGAAGCTGTTAAACAGAAAGTAGCCTCGAGAACTAAGACCAGCCGGGTATGTATTGCAGCGAACTTCATAGTGGGAATTAGAAGGGCCGTCATATGGGTTGCTCAATTGACTGCAAGACAGTGTTATATCGGTGTTAGCGGAGGCAGCGTCAGAGATACCGAAAATTAAAAGAAGAGATACAACGTTAGCCCAGAAGGCTATAAGGCTGTGTCTCTTCATTCTCAAGGAAGTAATAATAAATAATACTGGTAATAGGTTTGTGGTAAGTAGAATGATGGAGATCTGGAGAATGTTAGGGAGGATAAAAGGTATTAAAACACAGTACAAAACATATCTTAATCTTCTTTAGGCCTAAAGATAAGTTTTAGCCAGCTATAATTAATAGTTTATTAAATAGATTATATTTTTAGAGAACTTATACCTCTTTAGGTTAAGTCTCTTACTCTATTAAATATAGTTAGTTTAAATTTTTCTATTAGTATAAGTACTAAGCTTTAAAGACCACTAGGTTAATAATAATTCAACTTAGCTTGTGTCTAATGATTTGCTAGCAGGGTTAGACTTGACCCTAAGAGTTCTGGAACACGCCACCAATTTGTCTATATCCACATATTAACAGTCATACAGTACGGAGTACAGAGTAGATAAGAGGCCTTTACCAATTCATATCCTGGTACATCCAGGGATCATCATACTGCGATTGCAGCATTGGAATAAGCAAAGGGGCTGTTAAAGTTGGTAGAGATCTAAGTACTAGACCCATCGATTATATTCCATAGTCAATATGACGGTCGATATATTAACCCGAGGTTTGGTGATTGTTATAACTCTCGTATACGATAGAGGGAATTGACCAGCGTCTCGAAGTAGCTCTATCAGGTTCTTAGTTCGTGAGATGTCAAGACACTTTACGAGAAATAATAAGGTTTAGTAAAGCCTTGCCAGCAGGATCTTAAGGATCTACAATGCTAATAAAGGATGCGATATTATACGCGGCGGACTTAGAGCTTTAGACTAATATAAAGATTTTAATTTAATAAAATAATAAACCAGGCCATTTCTCTTAAAGTCTTTCCTTACTGCGGATTTAAGTTATAAGGATAGTAAGTCCTGTAGATAAAGAAATAGGCAGAGACGTGCTCGACGAGGTCAACCCATAAGTAGCGTATAGACATTGTGCTATAGTGCCTGTGTTAATATGCTAAGAGATGCTAACAATAGCTTAATACTAATATACCTTCTCGTTCACTAGATAATACATACTTGAAAACATTTAGAGAACTCAATCGGACTTTAGTCTTTTCCAGTTCTGATTAGCTAACACTACTGCAATAGTGGCTTGGTATCTTATCTCTGTGGCTGTGTCTAGGTCGTTCATGTGTCCGTGGCCAGTTTCATATTCACTGCTCTCTGTAGGGTAAACTAATTACTTTTCGCAAGGGACATTCTGAAAAAGACTTTATAACTACCAAGAGAATAAAGATTTAATATAGGTAAGATTAAACAAAATTCATTCTTATTAACTACCGGAGATTTATAGGCAATAACTGTAAGTATTTAATGCCAAGTCACTGCATTGGGTGCATGAGAGGGCATTCAAAAGGGTATGCAGGATCAACTCCTAGACTGGGTCACAGTGGTGTGAGATAAACACTAAGACCTGGAATAACTAAGACCCGCTATTCGGGAGGGCTATGATTACCACGTCAGACTTAGGTTAACATTACAATTTAGAAGTCGGAACATAGAAAAACCCGAAACAACACCAAAAATTAGATCGTGACATCATCGCGCGAGACTTCCTCGGGCTTTGTTCCCCCCGAACGATTAGTTGGGCGTATGTCCAACCTATCACGTTCTCAAGATGTTACTGTGCATAGAAAATCGGGAGGCATCAAAGTTTATTGTTTTTCGCGTTGCAATGTATATTCAATAATTGATTATAAAACATAGCCAACACCCATATATATAAACAGCTTGACTCATCTCTACTACTTTTCGGTCCTGTAACGCCTTTGAACTCTTGACTATGGGAACCTCCACAATTCCACCAATCGCAGTTATCGGCGGTGGCCCATGCGGTCTTATGTTAGCACGTCTGCTCCAAACCGCAAGCATCAATTATGTCGTTTTTGAGCGCGATGACTCCCCAACTTCAACCCTCAGAAGCCAAGGCGGTACGCTAGACATCCACAGAGACTCAGGCCAGGAAGCGCTCCGTCGGGCAGGTCTTCATGAGAAGTTCAAGTCTTTGGCTCGATACGATGCAACGACAATGACCTTGATGGACTTTCAAGGGAAGTTCAGGGCTTCATTTGGAGACGATGATGGCGGTGATAGACCAGAGATCGATCGCCAGCAGTTGCGGCAGTTGTTACTTAATTCTTTGCCAACTGATCGTATTCGCTGGGGCAAGATATTGGATGTTGTTGATAGCAAAGAGAATGGAGAAACGCGTGATTTGACTCTCAACTTTCGCGATGGATCGACAGAGAGTGGCTTTCGACTCATTGTCGGAGCAGATGGTGCTTGGAGCAAAGTGCGCTCTCTTGTGAGTCTCAACAGCCTAAATTAATCAGAGTCACAAGCTAACATTACTCACAGGTCACTGACGCAAAGCCTGTTTATTCTGGTAAATCGTTCCTTGAAGGCAGAATATCCCCGGACAACGCCCAATACAAACTCGCGCAACAAATAGCGGGCAAAGGAACAGCCATGGCAATGAGTGCCAAATCCACTCTCGCCATCCAACAATTATCCGATGCCTCATACCGGATCTACATGGGCGTAGTGGCACCTGAGTCCCTGACGCGTCCTGGTGGTGATGCTGATCCAAACGATATGGACAAAGCGCGAAAAACAATGCTTGGACCTGGAGGCTTTTACGATAATTGGACACAAGACTTGAGACGTTTAATCGAGGCATCTGAGGGACCATGGAGACCGTGGCCGCTTTATCGCCTCGACAAGACCTTGTTCTCGTCTAACGAGGGAGATATACACGATGGCCGATTTGAATGGAAACGCGTCCCTGGCGTTGTTCTGCTCGGAGACGCCGCGCATCTCGCTACTCCAAATGGCGAAGGCGTGAACCAAGCCATGTATGACGCGCTCGTATTATTCGACCAAATCATTTCTGAAACTGGGGTTCCTGAAGGAAGTTATCATCAGAAAGCTGATACAGAGGCTTTAGAGCGCGCCATTGTGGCTTATGAGAAGGAGATGCGACCTAGAGCATATGAGCATATCCAGAGCAGTATCGACATGGAAGACATGATGTATGCAGACGATGGGGCTCAGCACATGATAGAGGCTTTCAAGCATGCTCATGGTGAGAGTTAGCCTCACCGCTACGTAACTCTTAGAATGGAATAACAAGTCCTTCGCTCTTCAGCAATGCCAGGGATGACCAAGACCGCATTAATTCCGATGGCTGTGCATTCATATCCCATCCAGTAACAGCCTCTGAATTTCGGATTACTTCCCCCACATGTTTCCGTGGCGCACGCTGACGTTTAGCTCCCGTAACCTTGAAAAAATGCCGAAAACTCCACATAATTTTCGGGTTGTGGGAGGTTAAAGTGAACGGGAATGCTTCATTATGCCGCCACGCAAGGCTGAGGCGAATGATCCACTCGAATGGGTATTGCGTAACGGACGTGCAAGCCTGTAATTCTCCGAGCCACCAATCCGAGGGAATGTATTATATATAAAAACTAACCCAGTCGCTTCTGAATATGCTTCTTTACAACCTTCTCACTCATCATTCTTTGCTCAACATGGTTTCTCTCAAGTCCCTCGCTTCAGCGGGTTTTGTCCTTGCTGGTCTTGTTTCTGCTCATCCTGGTGAGAAGCATGATCATCAGAAGATTAAGAGACAGATCCAGACCCGTGACACCATCGCCAACCTGGGCCAGCGATCATTGAACGCCTGCTCTGGTTCTCTCCATGCTCGGGAGTTGAAGGCTCGTTCGATTGCTCGTCGAGCAGAGAAGGTCGAGAAGCTTCGTAAGAGACTTGGCATCAAGACAGGTATGCTGGAAATGCCCTTTCGATGTTTTATCTGATGCTAACACTTCTCAATAGCGGCCAAGAAGCACCGACGCGACGAAGATGATATCGTCAAGTGGGAGGCTGTCAACCACAACAAGACTGGAGTCTCGAGCAACAACATGTTCACTCCTCTCGAAACCGTCTTTGGCGCCAACTCCAGCTGTATTCTATCCCCCGAGATCACCGCCGGTCCTTACTACATCGTTGGCGAATACCTGCGATCCAACGTTATCGAAACAGAGTTCTGTGACGGTGTCCCTCTGTTCCTAGAAGTCCAATACGTCGATGTTGCTACTTGCGGTGGAGTCCCCAACTTGGCCACCGACGTTTGGAACTGCAATGCCACTGGCGTTTACTCTGGCGTTAGCTCCCAAGCTGGTCTAAACACCACTTTCCTTCGTGGCATTCAGGTCACCGACCACGACGGTGTCGTTCAGTTTGAGACCATCTTCCCTGGTCATTATGAGGGACGCGCTACTCACACTCATCTCCTTACTCATGCCAATGCATCGGTGTCTTCCAACGGCACGATCCAGGTCTACAACAGCCCTGTTCAACATATTGGTCAGCTTTTCTGGCCCGAGGATCTCCGCGAAGAAGTTGAGGCTCTTACTCCTTACAACACCAACACCGTTGAGGTGACCACAAACGAGGAAGATATGTGGTCTGTTCTCCAGGCCGATGAGTCTTATGACCCCTTCCCTCAGTATGTCTACCTGGGAGACTCTGTCCAGGATGGAATCTTTGCTTGGATCCAGATTGGTATCAACACCAATGCGGACTACACCTCGGATGAGTATTATGGTGTTGCTGGATACTTGGCTAGCGACGGTGGCCATGCTTTGGACAGCGGTATTGGTGGAGGCGGTGGAGGCGGCGGCGGCGGCGGCCAGGGAGGCCAAGCTCCTTCTGGAAGTGGAACTCCTCCTGCTGGCCAGCCCACTGGAACTCGTTCTGCCTAAGTAGTTAAAGCTAGGCTGTCCGTGGTTAGTGAGACCGCGGAGCGATGATTTAAGTAGCTTAGAAAGAAGGCAACTAGTCGATCAGTAGATATTACTCCAGGGCAGGTTGCTGGTGGAGGATGGGGAAAGAAGACATGGAAAAAGCAGATTATATTGCCTGGGAGATCAAGTAAAGCGTGCTAAGTAAAACTAAAAAAATTCAAGCATCTCTCGACGTGTCCATTGGCTTGTGGTCCTTCACTTTTTCTTTGCTTGTTCTTGGTTCTGATATCTTTATCCCAATCTCTTCATGAGTGTCTAACCTCACTTATTACTTCTGGTCTGGATGTGTTGTTTGCAGTTGGGGCTTGCAGCTAAGAGCTTATATCACCACATTGAACTCAGTCATCTGCTATCCAATGCGAGGGGTGTTGTCCGTCATCTACTGGATTAGGTCCAGTCGCCACTTTTGACTGCTGGCCAGGGGGCATTGCTGAACCACCAAACCATCTCACCCATGTCGACTGCGTAGCTCCATCGTCGCGTAAGATCCAGTAAGCCAGGGGAGATGCGCTCCCGATATCCCATGCCCATCCCTGAGTATCAATACCTTGACTCAATAAGAGGACAAATGCAGGAGCATCAGTGTTCGAATACTTGGTGCTCACGGGCAATACATTGAAGGCAACTTGCGAAACTTGGCTGACATTGTAAGTGGCCCACGGACCCGGAGCAATCGGGCCCCTTGCCGTCGTCAAGCCCTTCCGCCCGTCAATATTGTACACGAGAAGAGGAAATCCACCAGCTCGAGAGTGGATCGTCGCGAGACCTTTCAGCGGGTGGTTTGTCTCGCCAAATCTGAACTCTACCTCAGGATAGATACCTTCCGCGTCGTCGCATGCCTCAGGGTAGACCTCGAAGACATTCCCAGGGTACAAACCTTGACCAAACACTCTCATTGGGTTTGGCCCGCCTGCTATAGGATTATAGTTCCTGACATGGGAATTGTTACGCCACATTCGGAACCAATTTGTCAGGTTCGACCCCTCGTCCTGGTAGCTGAGTTTGAATTTCTTAACGAATGGCGGAAATTGTTCATACGCCATATTGAAGACATGGTTTACATTGGCAGTGAATTGGCCTGTGAACTGTCTAACTTCATTTTCGATCTCCTCGGGTGTTGTGGCTTTGTCTGCAAGGTCTGTTGTTTTTGGGTTAGCTCAAAGGTGCACTTTTATAAGGTTAGAGAGTTGAAATACTGGCTGACCTTGTAGGGCGATTATCTGACAAATCAGAGCAAATCCCGCCCTGCTGAACGCCCAACCGAGGGCCTTGTCAAAGTCATCCAGGTAGTCCTTGAGAGTGAATGTATACTGTCCATTGTCATCTGGGGTATACATCTTGTCATAGCTTTGGTCATGCCACACTTGAACGAGAGGGGTTGCTCCAGGCTGTCCAGGAGCGGCTTGACCCTGCCCTGTCAAAACATCGAAGATATTCTGGCCAATATACTCAGCACCTCCTTCACCCTTGATATTGAAGGCTTGAAGATAGCTGTTGATCTGGTCGATATCATTGTTTTGAACGGCAGGAGGATACCCAGTCCGCCAGGTTTCAATTAATGTGGGAGAAGAGTGCAGCATCTCGATATCCGCCAAGTTCTCTTGTTGAATCTGGATGGACTGGAGAATGTCTTGTATGCCGTTGAGGGCGCTCATGATTTGATTCTGGCGATCTTGGGCGGCTGAGTCTGCTTGATGCTCTTCGATCAAACTGACAGCGATCTTGATGATGGTGCCGGCGGCTTGTAAAGCGGCTGCCGCCATGACTGCTCGTGAGTGTTTGGTGAAGTGAAAGACGAGTAGGTTTCTTGATAGGATTGGAAGGAAGATGATATATGCTGAGGTCTGGTCGACCAGTTAATCCTGGCTGCTGCTAGATCTATATATGCTTTGCCTACTACAGAGCATGGCGTGTAGCTAGCTAAAGAAGTTTAAGCTCGGTGGCTGAATCATACTTGTATAAAGGTCTATTTGCAGTATATTATCGAAAATTCGAGTGCATCGTGGAATGTGTAATTGTGATCTTCACTACCAAATCAGGGCAATCCTCTTGGGGTGCATCTGGTCTCCAACGGCCTGTGGGCTGTAGGTGCCTGATTGCGGTGTAGTCCGAGACCCCAGTGGACCCATACAGACTTTAGCGTCGCTGTAACTCGGAGATGGCTTTTTAGGGTCAATGATTTGTTGTAGATGATTAAAGCTGAAAAGTCGAAGTGGGGTAATGATACACACTATTGCCAGGCATGTATATTTTAGTTGCTCCTAGACCTTTGTCCTATTATTAACTGAAACATCAGTGTGGGTAGTCTGTAGTTAGCTATAGAATAGGTCTAGACCTTGGCTACGATGTAATACGTTAAATTATTTTAATAACTACTTGTGGATCTGACTAAAAGGGAGCCTTACTTAAAGAGTAGGCAGTAAAATTATAAAATAAGGGCAAAATCGTAGGATAAGCCTCTACCCTGCCTAGTTATAATTTTATAATTTTTATTACCTTAAACTAAAGATTTTAATAATATTTCTAAGTATTATTTAGTTAAATTATATATCTAAAGATATCTTTTTTACTAGATCTTTAAAATAAGTAATCCTTATAATTTTAGCCTTACTATAATAGCTATATATATAATCCTAATCTTATAATCTTACTACTATAATACTAAGTATAAGCCTCTTATAATCTATATTACTACTAAGAAATATAAAGCTTTAAAGACTTTTATTAGTTATTATCTTAAGTTAATAAAGCTATTAATAAAGCTATTTAAAAATCTTACTTTTAGTAATAATAGTATTAGCTGCCTAAGGAATCTTAATAAAGCTAAGGAATATACTATAGTTATATATATTATTTAGCTTAAAAAAGCAGGTTTTTCTTATAATTAGTAACTTATTAAAAAAGTAATAAATAAGCTAAGGGTATTATAAATATCTTTAGTAGGCCTTATTAGTAATAGCTAGTATAAGAGATTTCTTTAAGATAATCTATAGCTTAAGAAGAAAAAGTTAATTTAAGCTTTTAACTATAAATAAGTAGAATTTAAAGCTAAAAATATTTCTAATCTTAAGAAATTTTATACTAACCTTAGTATAGTTATAAATAAAAAAGAAATTAAAGCTTTATAAATATTTAATACTAATAAATATAGTATATAGATTAGTACTATTTATAAGTAGCTTAAGGTTATTATTATAAATAAAATACTTAATACTAAATATAAGATTATTTCCTTTTTTAATAAGGAATTAACTATACTTCTTAAATATATAAATATAGCTAAATATAAGTAATTTCTAGACTTTAGGCTATATTTTAATATATTTTTTAGTTATAATACTAGCGCTAATAGTATTTATAGTATTTAAAATATAGCTAATAGAATTTTAAGAGGTTAATAGCTTAGATAAAGCTATTTACTTTACTTACTTTAAGAGTAGCTTCTTTAATACTAAGATCTTAATAAATTAGATATAGCATTTTAACCATAACTTCTTTAAATATACTATAAAGGTATAGGCAAAAGGTATTATATTTAAAGATTAGTTTAGCTATA